GGAGAGCACATCATAAACCTTCTATAGTTGGCCAGGTATAAAGAGATCTACTGCAAACAGGCTACAGACTCATCACCTGGCATAAATATAATTTACCTCCCTTCCCCTCCCAGCTCTGTCCCAATTTCCACGGAGGAAATATCTGGATGTGCTGACTGGCAGGGAGACATGGTGCCTCTGCATCAAAAGCAGTGCAGTCACTTTTCATATCTCTGTTGTGAAGTGCCAAAAGATGCTGCTTCTCTCTCAACTAACGTAGTGGGGTGGGCAAAGAGAGCTGAACCACTTTCCTGGGCGGCTGGGCTGGCTGCTAGGCTTTGAAGTGCTCACTGCTAACAAATAACCAGCCGTGCACAAAGGCAAGCAATCAGTCACACAGCCAGGAAATACCATCTAGCATTTAACTGCAGTTCAGCATTTTGCAACGAGGGGAAAAAAGCATAGCTGAAATGGAGTGGTAGTACATTAAAGTTTATATGGTACATCAGAGGGGCATTGGCCTGAGCTGCCCATTCTCAGGACAGACTTGCTTAAAAAATCGATCTCCCTTTTTTTGTTCACAATGGACATTCTCGTGATGAATTGTCTGCGAAGCAGCCAGGGGTTGCTTTCACTGCGTTTCAGATCCCAGACCCCAGTCCTGCAGTTTGGACTACTCCCATCACATAAAATTCACACCAACGACCCTAACTGGTGCACCGTTTTACATCCAAGAACCACTGCATCCGAGGATTCTGATTTGCTTTTCTTACCTCTATGAACCAGGCAGATATTCACAAAACCTGTTCAATTTATGTAGTTCTGTCATATTTGCTGCTGTTTGAATGATCCAGTTTCTTGAGTCATTTAATAGTCCTTGAAGCTCTGGGTCTGCCTCTGTAAAATGCAGCTTCTAACCCAGACTCTGACCAAGGAGAACTTGCCGGCAAATGCCGGCCAGGCCCGAGCCGTTAAATGCACAGAAGCTAAACCCCAGACTCTTAAATCTCACGGCTTTCGTGTCCTCTCTTGGCTCACCTGAGTGCAGCACCTGATTCTCCATGTCCACACTGACCAGGGCAAGAAATCTTGGGCTCAAACTGGGCGTTGGCAGGGAGGGCTGCGTGAACCCCAGCAAGCAGGGCTGGGGCAGAGGGAGGAGAAGAGATGAGCCCTGGTTTTCCCAGGCCATATGGCGTTGCAGGTGAAAGCCTATGAATATCATGGGCCTGGGAGCGCTGCTTCAGGAAAGCCCTCTGCTTGCAACAGAGGGACAAATTCTGCTCATGGCGACCCACTTGTTAGAATTTGGCTCAGTTTTACTATGAGTGGAACATTGATTTTCCTTATTTAATATAGCATCATTATACTTTTTA